ATGATTACTGGGGAAAGGGGGTGGGAAGGGATAAATCTGGGAGTTTGAGATTTACAAATGTTAGCCACTATATATAAAAATAGACTTTAAAAAGTTTCTGCTGTATAGCCCAGGGAACTATGTTCAATGCCTTGTAATAACATTTAATGAAAAAGAATAGAAAATGAATATATATGTATGTACATGCATGACTGGGACATTGTGCTGTACACCAGAAATTGACACATTGTAACTGATGGTACTTCAATTAAAAAAAAAAGCTATACTTCCATTAAAAAAAAAAAAGAAAAGACTTCAAAGTGTCTCCTCTTTTCTTTCCCACTTTAGGAGTCAGAAGATTATCCTTCAATATTTTGGTGACCCCTTCGGGTGACAGCTCCAGCTAGGGTGCTTTTCTGGGGATCTGATTCTAGGCTTGGTTCTGCTACAGACAAGCTGTGTGGCTTGACATGCTCTGAGACTTAGCTTGCTCCTCTATGATGAGAAAAAGGTTGAACACCTGTCCTCCCCACCCCCCCAGGTTGTTGGCAATGACTAACAACAGAGGCTTGGTTGCATACAGACTGGTTCAAATCCCAGCTCATTCACATTCTAGCTGTTTGCCCTTGGGAACACTGCTAACCTTGGCTGAGACAGTTTTCTCCATCTGTAAAATGGGAGTGCCTACTTTCTGGGACTGATAGTAGGGATAATGTATGTATAATGCTTACCACAGTACCTGACATCCAATGCATGCTTAATACACGTGAGCAGGAGTTGTTATTTTAAAGGAACTGCTTTAGTTGAAAGAAATGTTATTGTCAAACTAGAGGTACAGCCAGCAGGACAGAGGCAGCTTGGACCAGACAGGGAGCCCAGGAGCAGGCAGGTTCAGGAAGGAAGGTCTTACAGTCTGAAGTTCAAAATCAGGTAAGTTATGTTGAAAGAAACTTAATGTTAATAATTGACACATATGGTGGAACTGTCTGAGGCATTTGCAATTCTCTTCCTACTCCCCTCACCCTCCTCCCCAGTCTCCAGATGTTTCTGGATCCAGTTTGATAGGAACTGAGAATATGGGCAATGTGGTTATCAAGTTCAAGGTGAAGACCCTCACTGTGGTAGCAAGCAAGGACTTACTCTTAGGAGCCAAACAGGATGCAAGTGGCAAGCCCAGAAGTCCAAGGTCAGCTCCTTCCCTGCACTAACGCAGCAACTCCTTAATGAAACTCAGGCTGCAACACGTCCAGCTGTATGTAAGGAAAGGTAGACTGAGATAAATGCTCTAATAGAGGATAATGCTCTTTTATAGATGAAGAAACTGAGGCTCAGAGAGGTTAAATGACTTGTCTAAAGGTCACACAACCTGCGAGTGACAGAGCTGTCCATCAGAGACAGGGCTTTTGGGGGTCTCATCCTTGGCGCTCTCTGCTGCATAATGCTGTCCTGAGATTCCACGAAAGGAAGAGGTAGTCCCACTCCACTTCCTCCCCTCTCCGAGCATTTCCTGTCCCTAATGGGTTCACCACTTTGGTACCACTTTTCAGCCCATTTGGCATCTCTGTGGGGGAGTCTCACCTCACACCCTTCAAACCTTTTCCTTCTGAGAGTCCTTACTGCTCACCAGGAGGCTGGGCGAGGAGGGCTGAAGCTATGGGGCCAACAGGAAAATCTAGGGGTTACATTCCTGGAGGTATATAAGCTGGTACACATGTTCTGGAGAATCAGTAGTAATGTGTATCAAAAGTGTTAATAATTTGGATATATTTTGATGTAGCAATTTCACTACTAGAAATTTATCCTGAGGAAATAATCAAAAGAGTATTTAAAAATATAAGCAAGTGAAAAAAAGAAAGAAAAAGAAAAAGTCTAAAAGGTCTTAGTAAGGGGTTAGGTTAAGATGGTGTTTCCATACACTGCAATACTACGCCATGGTTCAAAGAGATGATGTTGGGCTGTATTTATGGTTACATAAATAAACAAATATATGTCCATGAATGACTGAAAAATTGTGCTGAAGACTTGAATTTGACACAACATTGTAAAATGATTATAAATCAATAAAAAATGTTAAAAAAAAGATAAATAAATAAACAACATGACAAACCAAAATGCAGGCCACATGTATAGTGTGATCTCACCTTCTGTGAATAGATTACATCAGTGTGTGTTGTGTGTGTGTTTGCTTATAGTGTAAATCCTCCTAATTGACATCATCGGTTGAGTCAACCTTCCCCTCCCACCTGGAAAACCTCCAGGGCTGATGCTCAGGCCCACGGAAGGTTCTGGATAGAAGGTTGTGTGCCATTGTGCCCACCCACTTGTGTTCCCACCAGATAGCTCGTGTGTTTTAGCAAGAGTCAGTTTTAGAGTTCTGTAGCCTCTTTATCCAATTTACTTGCTATTATATTCATAGTTAAATATTATATAAATTGAAAAAAAATGAGTGAAAACAAAAATCTATCTTAAAAAGCTAAGTTGAATGCTTTGAAGAATTCAACTGCTATTGTAGTGAGGTAGCTATAATGGACTGGGAGTACCGTGAGAATTCAAGATTTTATTCTCAGAATGCTTCACAAATGTTTTCCAGTTTTCTTTCTTCTTCAGAGAAGCTAAAACAAGAATTTAGAGACAAACTATTACGGTCTCTACATAAGAAAGACAAAGGTGAATTCCCTTCAGCAAAGTGACAGTGACATAAAAGGCTATATTAAAACATAGATCTATTTTAAGTTAAAATAACAGATTTAAGCTATGCATACATTTTGTTATTATTATCATTTCTTATTTCAACTAACTTTTTTCTTAACTCACTAAGCACAGTCCCAATACTATCAGATAAAAAGGCTTCTGCCCCATAGTCTAGAACAAGGGAGGATGTAGTGATATATCTGGAAGGGAATACTGAGATTATGGTTGATTTTTACCTCTTCTTTGTAACTTTCTACATTTAAAAAAAATAAGAATGTCTATTACTTTTATAATCAGGAAATACCACAAAGCCATCACCATCCTGGGAAAGGAAACTGGAAAGAGAAACTTCAGGATGAAGGTAATGGCATGCTGACACTTGCAGGAGCCCTGGGGACCCCCTGATGACTGGAACTGTTTAGATTCTTTTGTTATAAATCCTAATGGTGATAATGAGTTTGGCTCCTTGGTTTCGCCCCATCCTGAGGGTCAGGTTGACGTCAGCGATCAGACATCTCAACACACTTAATTACTGTGGGAGAGGGCGCAGGACTCAGGCAGGCAAGTCTCTAGGAGGAGAGACAGACCTTCCCAGGTGACACAAGCCAGATCAGCATCAGGATGCAAAACAGAGGGGAGCAGTTCTGAGCACTCAGGTTACTCTCATTCACAGAAGTTACTGCGAGTGGCTAAAGGTCACACATCAGCAGATGCAGCCTTGCACAAAGACAGGCTCAACTTCCTTGTATAAATAAAACCATAATTTTTATTTTTTAAATAAATATATTCTTCCCATAGAAACTTCAATTATTCATTCTTGATTATAGAAATATTTGTTGAAAACCAACTTCCGATTATAATAACTAATTTTAAAATGGTAATAAAGTCGTTCAAAGTCTTGCATAAAAAAAGAATGGAAAGAATCTGTTCTTTTTTTTAACTTTTTTTTTATTGAGTTATAGTCAGTTTACAATGTTGTGTCAATTCCCAGTGTAGAGCACAATTTTTCAGTTATACATGAACATACATATATTCATTGTCACATTCTTTTTTGCTATGAGCCACCACAGATCTTGTATATATTTCCCTGTGCTATACAGTATAGTCTTGTTTACCTATTCTGCATATGCCTGTCAGTATCTACAAATTTTGAACTCCCAGTCTGTCCCTTCCCACCCCTCTCCCCCTTAGCAACCACAAGTTTGTATTCTATGTCTATGAGTCTGTTTCTGTTTTGCATTTATAAATACAAAGAATCTGTCTTATTCCAATGCCTTCCCACAACACATTCTGTTTCAGTGCTAGAAAGGCTGGGACCATCGGACAGGAATAAAAGCAAATGTGACAGGGCTGAAGTCCTGTCCTTGGCTATAGGACTATTAATTGTGCAAGGTCGTTCTAGGGAGATAGAGTTGAACAGTAGCTCACAGAGAAAAGACTTAGGGCTCTTCTTGGAATAGACAGTCAAGGCAGGGGGTCATGTATGAAAGCAAATGGAAGTCACTGCACATGGTCTAGCTATGACTGACGCAGGGACACTGGGCTTAAGGAACAGAGTAGGGCTGGAGCACAGGGACATGCAGTGGAGCAGAGATGAGGAGGATGCCACCCTCCCTTTCAGTTTGCCTTCAGGAACAATGGCAGGCATCTCTCAGTTTGGGATTAGAGCCTCAACTGCAATCCCATTCCAGGCATCATTTGGTGAATTAACTTCACTCTAATGCTGAGTGATGGGCTTTGGGTTCAGCCAGACTTGGATGCACATACTGGCTCTACCACATGAGGCCTTAAACAGAGATTTTTTAAAAAAACAATGCCAAATAGAGGGTATGGTGGAGGGCACTTGTGCTAAAATTCAATCAATAGATCCCTCATTTTACATAATTGATATGTCCCAGCAAGGTGACCTGCAAAGCAAGTGCTGGGTTAAATGCATGAAGGACATGTTTCTCTCTCTCTCCCTCCCTCCCTCTCTATCTCTCATATTTACACACACAGAAATCAGTGTAACCCACAAGACTCAAATGGAAGAAGTATCACTTTAAAAATTTTTCTCAATCAATGAAAATCCTGCTTGGCTCCCACCTGCCTAATTGACAGAGCCAAGAGACACAGTCTTTGTCATTTTGAGGGTTACTCCCCATCACCTTCACCTGTTGAAGGACACTTGGGTTGTTTCCAGTTTGGCGCTACTACCAAACTGGAAAGCTACTATGAAGCTACTATGAACACTTGTGTATGGGAATTTTGTGTGAACATGTGTTATGAACATTTTGTGTGAGCATAAGTTTTCACTTCCCTGAAATAAATGCCTAGGATTGAGATTCATGGGTCATATAGCAAGCATATGTTTAATGTTTTAAGAAACTGCCAGACAGATTTCCAGAATGGCTGTCACCATTCTACACGCTCACCGAGAGCATATGTAAGATCCAGCCTCTCCACATCCTTGCCAGCATTTGTTTTATCAGGATTTTTTATTTCAGCCTTTCTAATAGGTGTGTAGTGGTATCTCATTGTGGTTTTAATTTGCATTTCCCTAACAACGAGCGATGATGAACATCTTTCCATGTGTTTCTTTTCCATCTGCGTATCTTCTTCAGTGAAGTGTCCAAGTCCTTTGCTCATGTTCTAGTTAGACTGGTTGTTGTCTTAACTGCTGAGTGCCGAGTTCTTTATTCTGAAAGCAAGTCTTTTGTCAGAGAGGTAGTCTGCAAATATTCTCTCTCAGTCGGTTCTTACCATTTCATCCTCTTAACTGAGTCTTTTGTTACTAATTTTAATGAAGCCTAATTCATTTATTTTTTCCTTTTATGGATTGTGCTTCCTGGTGCCACGTCTAAGAACTCTTCTAATTTTAGGTCACAAAGCTTTTCTCCTATGTTCGCTTCTAAAAGTTTTGATGGTTTCACATTTTACATTTAGCTTTATGATCCAGTTCTAGTTTACTTTTGGGTAAGGGGTGAGGTGTAGGTCAGGGTTCATATTGTTGGCTACTGATGTCCTGTCCGTTTGTTTCTGCCAAGTGAGATAACAGCACCAGGTTCTACAGGAGTCACAGAAGTCAATTACTACTCTGGGAGGCAGGCTACCTCGACAGTTCCTTGCAGAAAATTAGTCACCCTCCCACGGTTACCTAGAATGAGCTTGATGCTACGGAAACCAAACATTTCCCCAGTGAGTCTTCCTTCTGCAATCATATTGTGCAACCAAATACCGTTCATAATGGATCCCGAGGAGTCTCCTGTTGCCCCTTGCATCACCGCCTGAGTGAATTTGTTTAAAACAGGAAGTGAACATTGAAATTTTCTATTGCATATGATAACATATCATTTCAGGATAGGAAGGAGTGTTTTTTATGGAAACATGGCTGTTTCATGAGGACACCAGGAATCCACGGCTAAGGGCTCTGAGCAGGAGTGCAGCAGATCCACATTTGCATGTTAGAAACCTCACTCTGGCAACATGGAGGTAGACTGGTGGGAATTTGGCGGCTGGCTGGGGCATGTAGGAGACTATTGCAAGAGATGATGGAACCAGAGAGTGGTGGAGAAGGGTTGGTTGATGCATTTACACCAGAGACAGATCAGAGGCTTAAGGAGAGAAAATGAGATTTTAAAGATCGTTTTGAGAAGTGAAGGGACAAGCTGTACAGAGAACGAGAAGTGAGTTGAGGGATCAGCTGGGGTTGGAATCTCTGCTTGGCCACTCCTACTGAGGAAGAGTCAGTTTATTCCTTCTGCTTTGTGACCCTTCCATGCTTGACAGTCTTGCTTGAATAGAGCTCTGCTTCCTTATAATTTCCCTGCCATGGTCCAACTTTGGCCCTGAGGGACCACACAGAATGAGTCCACCTCTGCCAGCCACAGCAGCTCTTTGACCATTTTAAAGACATGGGTCACATTCTCTCAGGCTTTCTTTCCTCCAATTTATTCATCCCTAGTTCCTACAACCCTTCCCATTTGGCATGGGTTCCTGCCCCTCCTCTTCTAGGTAGTTCCTCCACTTCCCACCTTTAATCTAATCACAGGATGCCAGAACTCTGGATAGAGTTTGATCACTCAGAAAACAGTAAGCACCCCCTTCTGGAGCCTGGTAAACTCTGCCCTAGCATCCCCACACCCTTCTGCCCTTGGCGGGAAGCTGTCTCCCTTCCCTGAACATCGGAGGTAACATCCCCCAGTGAGATCTGTGGTACCCTGGGCACTGGGGGCAAGCCTGGGCCCAGAGCCTCAGCTGGGGAAACAGGTTTGACAAGGCTCTCACTGACTCACCTCCAGTAGCAGGCAAGCTGTGTCTGGGAGCACATGACCCAGCCTCACCGAGAAATGGATTTCCTGCCTTTTCTCCTCTGCTGAAAATCAAGGCACCAGCAACTACTCACTGACCACTGTTGGGTGTGTGGTTTGGTGAGGAAAACAGAGGTGGAATCCTGGGTCTGCCTTCGGGAATCATGCGGCCTTCTTGGGAGAGAGGATACAGGATGGGTGGTCAGAGACAGCCCATTAGAGAAGAGCTAAGACCACAGCTAGACCTGGAAGGATGGGGGAATGTCAGATAATGAGAATAGGCAGTGCCCTAGGATGGCAAGGACAAGTGTAGAGATCAGGGTATTGAAGGTTCACCTAGGGGAGGAAAGGAAGACATTGTGTCAGAGCAGAGACTCTCTGTACACAAACACTGAGAGCAAATGCTACAAAGGTGGGTTGGAACCATATTTGCCTGGACTCTTCTCTAGGCCAAGAGCTCTTGAACCAAAGGAGGAGATGGTTAAAGTGGTGAATGGTTTGGGGTCGGGGTCTGGGTCTGGCAAAGCTAGATCCTACACTCTGCTGTGACAGGCAGACCCAGGAGAACAGAGCTCCTTAATGTCCAGGGAGAGTAAAACCCTTACAGGAAGTTGTCCAGGCAACTCAGAGAAGTACCTGTCTGGCCTAGTTCACCTTCAGATGATCTTTCCAATAGCCCTTCCTAGGGAGATAAGGACAGGGAGACCAGGGACCTATCCAAATAAGTGATCTGGGAAGTGCTTTGAGCGGCAACAAGAAAAGCTGTAATCTAGGGGCAGAACTGGCTAAATCATTTGTGGGCCCCTGGTCACCAATTATTAAGGATTTCAAGATGGCAACATCGGACCAAGCCTGTGGCCCTTCTAAGCACAGAGTCCTGTGCAGCTTCAGAAATTGCATGCCCATGATGCTCGCTCTGTCTGGGGGTAAAGACGAGGGCAGGTTCTTACCCAAATGCACACAGTGGGTTTGCAGGGGGCTCCCACACTCAGAAGGCTCACAATCAGTCATCCCCTCTCTGTTCTGGGCAGGTGATAGCCCAGCATTCCAGCTCAGGCAGCTTATGGCTCTTGGCCTCATGAAAAGATTAGACCAGGGACAGGAAACCTAAATTCCAACCCTGGTTTTGCTTTAAAACTGAAGTGAGAATCACTTAACTTCTGGGTCTTAGTTTTATGGCCCATATTAAGTGTTCAGAAGGTATTGTTTCTCTCCCTTCTCATAAAGAACTTCCAATTCTAGGATCTCTACCATGTGGCCCCTTGCTGGAATATTTGAAGTAAAACACAGGTTCTAATGATGGGTCTTGAGTTGCAGAAAGAACTCAGTGAAATGCATTTGTATCTTGGAGAAAACTCCAAATACTCTTGCACTCCAATACCTTCCTATTTCACTAGAAAGGTCATCTCTAGCCATTCTCCGCCAAAGATGCATTTGGAGGGACTTCAGGTCTACTCTTAGCTATTTCGCCAACTCTCTGTAGGGCTGTGGGACACCGACTTCCTCTCCCTGTGCCTCAGTTTCCTCTTTTGTAACATGGGAGAATTTGAAAAAGTCCTTTTCTGCATTCAGTTCTGCTTTTCCTTGAATTTGGGAAGACGCTGGTCCAGCATTTGTCATCACATGGTATTGGGATGAACTTCTCTGGCTTTGTCAGTGGAAAACAAGCTCACTGAGGTCAAGAATGATCAAGATCTATCTCTGAATCTCCAGTTCCTGGCACAGCAGCTTGCTCTCAGCTGAGCGCTGAATGGACACAGCCATCAATGGATGGACAAGGTCTCTGGGGAAGAGACTCAAAACAAGTGTGCTATGAAGTGTAAACAGAGATATGATCAGAAGTGAGGCCCAAGGAAAAGAAAGAGAACCAGGGGAACATCATATCATGGGAGATTGAGCACTGGGTGAGCAATATCTTAAATAATACAGAGGAAACAAGAAACTGTAAGGCTTAAAGAAAAAAGACACCAGATTTCATAACTGGGAGGTCATCAGTGACTTCTGAGAGAAGCCAGGCTGCCCAAACATCAAGGAATGGGTGGATCAGGAGGAAGTGTGGACGGCAGATGTCAAGGAGTCAAGGCATTTGGTGGAAGAAGAGAAAGATAAGAAGGTCACTAAGCATTGAGAAAGGTCAAAAGAAGAATCATCATTTGTTCATTGGTTTGTTGGCCTTAAGAAAAGGAGAACCAAAATATTTGTTAATCCAGAGGAAGGAGTGAAAGAGAAAGAGGTTGGAGATTTTAAAGAGTGAGAGAGGAGGCAATGGACAGATTTATGTCCTTGAAGAGTCAGGAGAGAGAGGGGACCAAGAGCAAAACTCTCTCTCCCCCCATCCCCACCCCCAACCCTCTGCCACCAGCAAATCTGACCAGTGCATCACCAGGCGTCGTACAGGGAATTCTGATGCCAGAAGGAGGTCGAGCAAGGTGACTTTTAAGGTGCCCTCCCACCAGTTATGTGACCTCCGTGTCCATCCGTCCTTATTGTGCCATGTGGCCCATAAGCAGAGGACAGCAGATCATGTGAAGAACATCTTTGAAATCCAGTCCAGTGCTCACAGCATCCCTGATCTACCAACACCTGTAACTATCAAAGAGGAAATAAGCCCTTGGACACAAACTCCACCTGTTTTGGAATGTGGCCCAGGGAGGGAGAGCAGCATTGCAGGAAAAGCACCAGACTGGGAGCCAGGAGTCCAGGTGTAGTCTCTTCTAATTATTCTCTGTGTGCCCTTGAGTACTTCCCATCTTCTCTGTGAGTCGCAGTTTTCCTTCAAAAAACAGGAATTTGAGACAGTTGACTGGCTTATTTCTTTGTGCTCTGACTCTTGGATTTTTTACAAAGTCATCTGAAAGAGCTGGCACTTGTCTCTGTGGTCCTCGGGCAGTTCTGCACGTACTGTGATCACCATGGTACAACAGGCAAAACAGGTCCCATAAGGGTAAAGCAAGTGAGCCCTCCTTGGCAACTCACCCTCGTGTCACTGTGGAGCTCACAATAGTGGCATCAGCTCCAACAGGAAAACCCACAAGCTTGTCAGTGACATTCTGGACCCTCCCATGTGGGCTGTGGCACCAACATAACCGAATCATGTTTGGCAAAGGAAAGGCCATGTCTGGCTGTGTGCTGATGACACTGATGAAAGGCAGTACTGCCTTGGGGAACTGAATTTCTGACTGATTTTCAAGTTCTGAGTTCTGAACTAGGTTTGCCCTTTGTTGACAAATCTCCACCAGCATTAAAGGGAACTGGATGTCTCTCTGACATCAAATGCATCATGGCAAATTAGTCGTTCACTAATTCATTCAAAAATGCATTGAGCAACTGCTTTATTCATTAAATGTATGTGTTTTTGGTGGATGGATGGATGGAGAGGTGGATGAGACCAGGATCTGGTTCACTCACCAGGCATATAAGGCAGGATTTTCTCTCTTACGAGTGACAGAAACCTAAATCTAAGTAGCTTAAGAGAGAATTAAAAAAGAAATACATTGATTGATATATCTGAAAAGTTATCAAGAGCTTGCAAAAGTCCCTCTTTATTTTGCAGCTCTGGTTTCTTCTGTGTTAGCATCATCTTTAGACAGTTTTTCCCTACCCAGTGGCCAGGCTCACCCCCAGAAGGCCCAGGCCAACATTCTTGGCTTGCCACCCCCAAAGGAAAGAGTGCTTTGCCCCTAGAGGTTCTAGAAAGACTTCAAGATGGTTCTCACTGGCCCAGCGTGGGTCATGTGCTCATCCCTGGACAAATCCTGTGACCAGGAGGGCCCAGCACTGGGTCTGAGTCCTGGGAGCCCCTACAAAATCTAGAGAAGATGTCAGCCCCAAGGAAACCCCTCAGACTGAGAGTAAGGACACAGTGGCTTCCCCAGAAGAGAAGGGAATGGATTCTGGGCAGGAAGACCCTCAGCTGCCCTCTCAGTGGGGAACTACAAGGCAGCCCTTTTGCTGTTTGGAACCTCTGTTTCCTCCTGATCATCCTCACTGCATAGGTGTCTTGTGATGCGAAAGCCCTTTGACAAGGTGCGGGTGGGCTGGTATTCTTTTCATGATCATTTAATAGAAACGACCACAGCTTCTCCTCCCTCTTGAAGCTTCCCCCAGTATCTTGGCCTCCAGACTTGTCCCTTTTCTGACCTCAGCCACTTAACGTTTCATGTCACCCAGTGTGACAACTAATCGTTAAGTGTATCTGGGGTGGAAAAAGTATCTAGACCTACATCTGGTCCAATAAGAAAGACCCGTGCTAAGACCCTCTCTCTTGCACTCAGGAAACTAGCAATCTAGGCAGTGACAAATCGTGCCTGGTTCTCTGCTTGCTCTGTGTGTCAGCCTAATCTCCAAAACAAAACTACCAGCTCCCTGTGGGCAAGGCCAGGCCTCATCCTTCTCTCCTGACAGCTGCATCCCCATATCATCCTGAGTGTACCAGTCATGGTGGCTTGGAGCCCCCATCAGGGAAAGAGTTGGAAGCCTTGCCCCATAGATCCCAGCCTTCTTGCTAAAGGATCCTCATGCTCCCAGTAGCCAGGACAATCCTCCTCTTTGCTACCTCACCCCACGTGCCCTGCTTCCCACACCACCTCACCACATCATGAGCTCGCCCCCAACTTGACAGTGAATTCTGTCTTTTTCTTCTGAGGTCCCTGGAGCTGTGTATCCCTCCAAGCTGAGGAGAGGAAGGATCCTTCTCTGACCTGCATCAGATCATCTGCAAGTCTTGAAACAGAGTGGCAGCTTTGTGATCTGCTCCTTCAGCCAACAAATATGTTCTGAGCATGCACCTTCTGTGCCTGGATGTGTGCTGGGGAAGTGGTGAACAGGCAGGCCAGGCTCTGTCCTCCAGAAGCTCACACACCAGCAGGAAGGACCGATGGCCCCTCCCCCAGCCCTCGGAAAGCAAAGCTTCTCATGCCCCATGGTGCTCCCTTCTATCCATTCTCTGGAACAGGGATGAAAGGAACCTGGTACCAGCCCCCTGGTGTCTTGGCTACAGTACAGGGGAGTGCAGAAGGAAGAAGAGGAGAGACTCTCATGATGAGCTACTCAAAATGGTTTTTCCATGTCATTTGTCAATCAGGTCCCTGGATTTGGCATATGGACCCAAGCTCACCTCTCCCTCCCCTCCCACCAGGGCTCCCCTGGGCGGCTCCTGTGCCCTAGTGCTTGCCCCAGAGTGCCCGAGTCCGCCAAGGGCACACTTGGAGCCCCTTGCTTCCCTTATATCTTTCACATCCCCTAGCACAGGCCTGAGAGCTGGAGCTCAAAGGACAGCTGATGGACAAGTCTAAAGGGAAATGAAGCAGTCAAATTGGACTGAGCCAAACTGAATGACCCTCTCCTAGCACATAGAAACTGATTTTTTTTTAAAGGAGGGACATTTCCTGATCCATCTGCTCTTCACTGAATATCCCTTGAACCGCTTCTGAAGGTAAGCCTTTCCTTGGCAAATTTCTGTTCTTGTCTCCCACTTTGAACTCAGAGGTGAAATTAAAGTCGGGATCTCAGGCCGCTTCTCTCTCCCCCCACTTCTTTCTGACATCAAAATCAGTCTCTGCCTTTCATACCCACTCGGGAGGGGGAAAGGCTCTGCTAATAAATGTTTGAGAAGCCCTTTGAGATCTTGGATGAAAGGCATCTTATAAAATACAATTAAAAATAATAAGTGTAATTACTAGCTGGGCTAGTCCCTGCAGGATAATTAGAGAGTTCTCCTCTGCAGATTCTGAATTCATGCAGAAACACATGGGTCCACAAGGCAAACTGATTTGACATTTCAGGGGCCTTGGTTATACTTCCTCCATTCCAGGATCATGTACGAGAATCTTTCTGAAATCTGAGGAGCATCACAGAAGGCCAGAGCTGGAAAGGATCTTTGAGACGATCTGTCCTACCTCCTTGATATGCAGGTGAAGCCAGTGAGGCCCAGAGAGGCAAAGTGACTGGCTCAAAGTTGCACAGCGAGTGTGAGAGAGCCATACCTTGGGAGGTCCAATCCTTGGATACCCCAATTCTGGGGCTCCCGTCACCACTCCTCATCAATAATACCCCTTTTCTAATCTCTGCTTGTCAGTCACTTTCTGATATACAGGAGAGCACTGGAATAAGAGTCAGATAGAACTGAGTTCAAATCCTGGCTCTGACATGTGTGAAAGACAGTAGTGGACAAGTAAGCCTCAGTTTCCTCACGTATAAAATGGGAATAATGGTGCCTGCCTCACAGACGTGCTGTGAGAAGCCAGAGAGCCAAGTGCACAGAACATGTGTTCAATCAATGCTGCTTGAATGAATGCTTCAAGAATAAGCCTTGGCAATGCCAGGGTTCGACCTACAGTTAATGCGCACCTATTACGTGCCAAACGCTATGCTAAGCTCCCAGTACTTTATTTCATTTAATCATCACCACATCCCCATGAGGTCAGCCATATGAAATCAAGGTTCCGGGAGGTTAGCTACCTGAGTCCAAGGCCACACAGCTGAAGAGGAGGCAGGACTTGAACCTGTGCTTTCAGCCACCATGCAATACTGCCTTCCCCCATGAAAAGAGGCATGAACATTGTCGTAACTACCGTGGAGCCCCCAAAGGATTCTCTGCTGTGACACAGGGGAGGTGTGATGGAGGGGGTGGGAACAGTCACAGCCTACGATGATCCACTGAAGCACTTTTACCTTCAAGGTTATGAAAGTAAAACTCTTCTCCTTATGTAAGATGATTTATTCCGAGGGGCTGCGCTGATGCAAGTCACATGATCTCCCTCAAGAAGGGCAGTCAGTAGCTGGAGCTGAACTTAGAATCAAGAAGTCCAGATTTGGGTCTTGGATCTGCTCCTCAGAAGCTGAGTACCTTTTTGCTCAAGTCCCGTCAGTGCTCCGTCTTCAGAGTCCCACGTTCCTGGTCCATTGGGCGACATTCCCACTTTACCCCTCACACGGGTCTTCCGAGGCTCAAATGGGAATGAACACAGCCGTACTTCATCAGTTGCAGCCTTCTGCACAAATGTAAATCATTACTGTTACTACTGATAGTTTTGAAGATTGTCAGTGTGATAAGGAGGTGGCTGGAAGTCCCAGGCTGGTGGTGGACTTCAGGAAGACTGACTCAACACATGTGGCAGGCGGGGGACAATACACATTACTTGTCTTTGAAGGACAATTCAGCATGTTCCTAGCTCTGAGCTCATTATTTGGTTGGAAGATGGCACTTTAAGAGACCAGCCCTTTGAAATTCCATTGTAAACCTGGTGGGTCCCATTTACTTCAGCTGAGACCCAAGATCAGCACCTGCAGTGTCACAGTCTCTACTTCTGTACGTGTGGAAGAAACCAGCCGCGGTGAAAGGCTGCTCACTGGGTGAGGCTGGCAAAGGAGGAAGGAAGCCAATCTGAGAGTTGTTAATCACTCCCTGGGGATTTCCTCATCAATCAAGACTCTTCCAAATACCTCCTAGAAACGAGAATAACCAGGACTGTGTTCTTCTGAACTACCCTGCTCAGAATAGATAGATCTGAGTCATCCCCTCCAGAGATTTCCAGGGCTGACCAAGCAGATGACAGTGCTTTAGACTGTCAAAGTCACCCTCTGTCAGTCTTCGGCATTTAACACCACCAAGATGGGAGGCTCACTCGCTCACACTCAAGACACTCTCCAGTCTCCAGGTGATTCTCATTCACTGCTCAAGGCTCTCCAGCTCCACTGGTAACATGTCAGCCCCGAGACACCCCTTCCCAAGGCTAAATCTCCCACGTTAGGAGGGATGAGATGGTAACACCAAAATTACACAGGTTTAGGCATCAGAAAGAAAGGCTTGCCTTTCCTGGATCAACAACTCATCGGCTGTGTGACTTTGGGAAATTTAATTAACCTCTCTGAACCTTGGTGTGCTTATCTTTAAAACAAATAATAATTATCAGTACCCTTCTGGATTATTCTAAAAATCCAAACTAACAGAGAGAAAGTATTTGCACATAGCAGGCATTCAATAAACAGTAGTCTTTACATGACAAGATTCATTCATTTTAGAAACACGTACTGAGGGCTTACTTTGTGCCAGGCACTCTGCTGGGAGCTGTACACAGGAGAGCAGACTAGAGTGGAGAGAGAATGGGCTTTGATGTCAAAGACCTGGGTCCTAATCCAAACTCTACCATTTACCAACCCTGTGATCTTGGATAGTGGACTGACGGAGACTCCCCGAGCCTCACTCATCTCATCTCTGCACAGGGATGTGGTGGAGATTCAGTGAGATGACTCATAGCAAGTGCCGAGCCCAGGACCTGGCTCAGCATGAGTGCTGGATAAGTGGGAACCGTATTGCAAGTCAGTGTTGCTGAGTACATGAGGCAGTTAATGCAAAGCCAAGGTCAGGCAGGACAGTGGACATTTTTCTTTTTGCTTTTTTTAATTGAAGTATAGTCAGTTTGAAATGTTGTGTCAATTTCTGGTGTAGAGTATAATGTTTCAGTCATGCACATACATACCTATATTCCTTTTTATATTCTTTTTCATTATAGGTTACTACAAGATACTGAATATAGTTCCCTGTGCTGTACAGTAGGATCTTGTTTTTATATGCAATAGTTAGTATTTGCAAATGTCGAACTCCCAATTTATCCCTTCTTACTCCCTTTCCCCTGGTAACCACAAGTTTGTTTTCTATGTCTGTCAGTCTGTTTGTTTTGTAATTAAGTTCACTTGTGTCTTTTTTTTTTAGATTCCACATATAAATGACATCATATGGTGTTTTTCTTTCTCTTTCTGGCTTCCTTCACTTAATATGACGATCTCCAAGTCCGTGTTGCTGCAAGTGTTCACAGCAGCACTATTTACAATAGCCAAGACATGGAAAAACCTAAATGTCCATTGACAGTGGACATTTTATTGCACAGAATTTGAAGTAATCTTATTTAAAGTTATGGTTCCTGACAGTGGGCTCTGAACTGCTTCCTTTGTCCACTTATTTTCCCAGGGAAATAGATCCTTGAATACAGAGGGACAAAATCCTATCCCTTTCGCTATGTTGTGTTGCTGAGAGAAGACAGGGGTCAAGGCAGGGGTTCAGGACCAGCTCCAGCTTCTGCTCAGAGCAGGGAAACTAAGGCAGAAGGTCAGTCATGAAGACGGGACAACATCGGGGAGGGGAGCAGGTGGGAGAAGGAAACTCAGGAGGCATGAGGGCTCCCCGACCCTGTCAGCACAAGGCTGGGACAGCACTGGGACCCCTGGGCCCAACCCTGGGGGTCACCCTCAGCTCAGGGACTGCTCAGAGCTGATTCTGTCCATTCAGTGTCTCTGTGGGGCTGAGAAAGGCAGCAGCTGACAAAGATACCACTAATAATCCTAGTGTTTCTCTTCATTTGAGCCACCGGACTCAGGGAGAAGCTGGTGGAAGTGCAAAAAAGAGTGTCATTTTGCCTTAATCCTAGAATATCCATGCAAACTGCCTCTCCTGCTTGTGCTTCAGGTAATACGGTAAAGGAAAGCCATGCTGTTCAACCTACATACAGGTCCCCTGGGGTTTTATAAAAATGCAGATTCTGATTCAGTGGGTCTGAGTGGAACCTGAAATTCTGCATCTCTAATAAGTTCCAGGTGATGCGAGGCTTCCCTGAAACTCTCTGCCTTTGAAACATCAAAATGTTAGGAAAAACAATCTTTAAAACACATTTTCAAATCAGTGGAGGAGACTTCAAGGAAGGGAAACCTAAGGCCAGGAGTGAAGCCTGACCCTTCCTAGTGGATGCATGTGAAGAGATGGTCATTACCCTGGGGGACCCTACAGTCTCATGGCCTAGAGCTGTTCAACAGAGAACTCTGCTAGGAACAGGGGAAGGGGTAATGCTCTGCATTAATTTTGTACCCATGCAGGGCGGGGCGTCACATTGGAGAGCCCTCCACATAAAGCCAGGATTCAGAAAGAGCTAAGGCCTGAGGAAAGGGTGATTGAGAAGAACAACAAAGAAAGGAAACAGGGGGCGAGGGTATATCTCAGTGGTAAAAAGCATGCCTAGTATGCACAAGGTTCTGGGTTCAATCCCCATTACCTCCATCAAAAATAAACAAATAAACCTAATTATCTCCCCCCAACCCTCCCAAAAAAGAGAGAAAGCAATAGACAAAAAACAAACAAATAAAAAACCAAAGAAAAATAAAAACCAAGGGAAAGTGTCTGTATCAGCCTTGATTTGGGGTATCTGGAGAAAAATACAGTCCTCCGAGATCTGAGAGCTACTGGCTGACCCTCTTATGTGGCAGGAGTCTGAAATTACATGGTAGATTGGTCTTAGAACCCTCCAGATGATCCTTAAATTTCAAGTGCACCATAGTCTGTGGTCACTATGTCTTGAAACCCAGTAGAAGCAATCACAAGTCCTCCTGCAGGAATGCACCTCAAGCCAGGCCATACAGAATTATCGTAGGATTCCACAAAGCAGGGCTTAACACATCCAAGGAAACAGACCACCATGAGTGGGAGGCAGCAGCAACAGCACACCATCGAATCAAGCCCACACAGACCTCAGATATTGGGATAAAGACTACCAAACAATTATGTGTAATATGTTTAAAGAAATAAAAAGTGAGCAAAGAGCAAGAGACTATAAAAACGACCAGGCAGATTTGAAAAAATTTTCAAGTGCCTACTAACGATGAATATGTTTTCCTAGCTTTCTGTATTAAAGTCAGTACACTTTCTATTAGAAAAGAGTTTGGAACATGCCCACCCTCTCCTTGGCCATTAAATGCAGCCTGCTCATACCTGCCCTGTGTCAGCAGCAGGGAATGTTATCGGAAACATTTTCCTAGAATCATCCCTCCGCCCGGCCCATCCTTTCTTGGGCCACTCCTCCTGGCTCTGGGATTCCCTGGCTTCCTCCCTCGCCCCCCACGCCCCCACCCCCATTCCCAGTTCCTACTTCCAGCCCTCCTTCTTACTTAGGTGACACATCCAGACATTCCTTGGGTCCCCTCTCAACTCCACATGAGCCCCTCTTTCAAGGTGGGACCCTCAGTCCCAGTGTGAGGGGTCTCAAATGAGACTGCGCTAAGTAGGGTTATAATCACGCCCCATTCTACCACTACCATGTGTGTACCTGTTCACAAAGCACCTTTCGTGTCCACCAGAGCACTGTCATTCTCACGGGCAGAGAAGACAGGCTCAGAGCCACCACCATCCAGCTAGAAGGCAACAGGACCCGGATTCAAAACAGGACTCACACCCAGGTTTTCATGGTGGCCCCGCGCTCGTTCTGCTGCTCACAGCTGCCTCCAGTGAGAGCAATGATCAATCACCAGCCAGCACTTTCTGTCCCCTTATTGTGTTAAACCCTTACCAGCCTTCATCAAACTGAATTGACGTTTCTTAGTCTTACCCAGTTGGTTGGGAAATCTCTGGGTCATGGCTAAATAAATATTTATGATCAAGAAAATGTTAATTTATGGACCACCTGTCCAAAGGTAATCTGTCTCAGGCTACAGTCAGTGGAGCTGTAAGTGTAAGTTCTCTCAAGCAAGTGTCAGGGTAAGCTCAGCAGAGGGCGAAGAGGTACGGGAGGGAAACAGGGTCCTTATGTCTTCCCTCCCCCATCTCAAAGGAAAGATCTTGAAATCCCACAGAAGAACATTTTTTTACTCTCAGAAACACAAAAGACCACATTACATGACAGGATGTGTAATTAGTACAGACATTAGGTAAACTGTGAAATTTCAGACAGGGTTCTGTTAGTTTTACTCCTGGGAGATTTTCCAGCCAGAAACTGAAATGGAAATTTATGGGGCGCCCTCTTGTGGAAAGACCTATCACTGCAGGGCCACCCCAGCTACCTTTGCAGGTAAGAGGCCCTGAAGGAGACAGCGCCATGCACTGCCCGCTTCATGGAGTTTACATTCTAGTGGAGGCAGGTGGGGAAAGGAACGAGCAGCTAAATGGGCAAGATCCTTTCAGATAGTTAAAGAACATACAATAGGATTAGGCGCTCCTGAGCATATAGGAGAAAACTCCTAATTCAAAAAGATATATGCACCCCAATGTTCACAGCAGCATTATTTACAGTAGCCAAGACATAAAAGCAACCTAAATTCCATCAACAGATCACTGGAAAAGAAAATGTGGTGTATTTTTACAGTGGAATATTACTCAGTCATAAAAAGGAATGAAATAATGCCATTTACAGCAACATGGATGGACCTAGAAATTATCAAAGTGAAGTAAGTCAGACAGAGAAAGACAAATACCATATGATATCACTTATATGTGGAATCTTAAAAAAATGAGACAAATGAACTTATTTACAAAACAGAAACAGACTTACAGACACAGAAAACAAACTTATGGTACCAAACGGGAAAAGGGAGGGAGCGATAAATTAGGAGTTTGAGATTAGCAGCTATAACCTACTACACATAAAATAGATAAACAACAAGGTCCTACTGTGCAGTGCAAGGAACTATATTCAGTATCTTATAATACCCTATAATGAAAAAGAATATATATACATATAACTGAATCACTATGTTGTACACCCGAAACTAACACAACATTGTAAATCAAATATATTTCAATTTTTTAAAACTTTGATGAGTTATCAAAACTCAATTCCCTGAAAAAACAGGGTGGAGGAGATAGAGCATGCCTGGGGTGGAGGGTGGTCAGGATAGGAGTACAAGTTGTACGTTCAGGGAAGACTGGCTAGGAGAGGGGATGTGTCAAGAAGTTACCAACCATGTGGAGATAAGGGGCCAGTATCCTAGGCAGTGCAAAGGTCCTGAGGCAGAAAATAAGCTCTAAGTGTCTGAGCACAGAACGCAGGTGACACAGAAGAAAGAGAAGTACTCCAGGAAATGAGGGTAGAGGAGCAGGAACCTCTGGGAACACCGCCTCCTGCAGGTGGGAAAACGGGGTTTGTTGTAGACTTTCAGAATGTGGGATTCTCACCCCTGCACCCATCCCCACGACACACACACCAGGGCCTTCGGCAAATCAAGCCAGCTCTGACTCAGACTGTCTACTTCTCTCATCTCCACAGCCACCCCCAGCCCATTATCCTCCTCTCCTACAGCAGCTTCCTAATGGAGCTCCTTGCCCCTGAAAGGCATTCTCTTCTCAGCAGAAAAGTGATCTTTGTAATGTAAATGGATAGCATGTCTTCCTTGCTTAGAACTCTTTGATGACGGTGCACTTAGAATTAACCCAACTCTTAGGCAGTCCTTCTCCCTCTCTCTGCTCCAGCCATAGTAGAAGCTAACCTCTTTTCTGCCTCAGGGCCTATGCACTTGCAGTTCCCTGCACCAGAAATGTTCTTCCCCTGGTTCTTGTCGAGTCTGGCTCCTTTTCATCCTCCAGCTTAAACATCTCCCCACATAACTCCAGATCCCATCCCCTATTGATTTCCTTCATGGTACCCTTCACAGCCTGTAACTATTTTATTTAGTCATTGTTTTCTTGCTTTTTGACTTTTTCCATGTTGGGTTTTGCCATCCATGAGGGCAGAGACCACAAAACTTTCACCCTCCGCTGACTCCTCCATTGCCTGGCAGAGCTCCTGGCATTCGAAGTATATTTCTGGAATGAACAAACGAGCTCCTGCAGATGGGAGCCAGTGTGGATCTTAGGGATGATTTAGCCCAGCAGCTTTCAAATTCTATATTTAGCATAGAACCTCCTTCCAAATGGAATCTTAAACAGAACCTCAGAGCTGAGACACAGCAGATGTGTGCCCTGCCCTTCTGGTTCTGTCCTAGTGCCACCAAGAGCCCCGACTGAGCTGAGGATGCCATGGGCTCTTGAGAAACCCCCCAGGTGGCTGAGTTATCAGGAACTGCCCCTCAGCTTAGCATTTCTCTGGCTGATGCCTCTCCTATGATCCTTAGAATGGAAGGAGGCTGGAACATGGCATTTTGAATTGTCACAAGCAATTTAGGAAGTGGTTAGAGGTAAATGTTTTGGAGGAAATCTTCACACGGAAACATATCTGAGAACCTAATGGTTCACTCCTGGGGTGTGTGTGAGCTCTTTGGCTTTTACTTCAAAGCACGGCAAGTGATTGTGGGCTCAGGCACACTGGGAGAATTCCTGGAAGCTCTGTATACCCAGAGGACCACCCCCTTCTGACACTAGGCAGCACAGCCCAGTAGGCCCAAATGAAGGATGAGACAGCAGAGGCCTGGTTCTCAGAGCAGCTGGGTGCCCCGGAAGGGGCCTAGTTGTGTTGAACATCTTTTATGCCCCACTTCACATCTCCTAGGCTCACCTTTTCAACCTTGGCCATTGCTGTGGCAACCAGCAGTAAAACAGCTATCCGGAACATCTCTTGCTTTCTGATGGCGACTTATTAGCTGTGTGATCTTGGGCAAGTTGCTTACCCTCTCTATATCTCACATTCATCATGTGGAAAAAGGGGCTGATAAGAGTACTTGCTTTATATGGGTATAGTAAAGATTATATGAGTCACTAAACGTGAAGTGCTTGTAACAATGCCTGGCACAGAGTAAGTACTACCAAGAAAAGAGACATTGCTATTATTATTATTAGTAGTATTACTCCGTCTAGGACTGGATGCTAGAGGAGGGAGACCAGGCTTCCTAGCTCCGGGTCTGCTAAATTGGAGCCTGACTTGCCGAGGATGGGAGTTGACTGCAGCCCTCGGACCTATGGGTGGGAATGAGGTGGAGAGGACAGGAGCTACCACTTCTGGAAGGTGCGAAATGTCAGTTCTGATAACACCTCAAGAGAAGATGCTCTTGCTCTCTAATTTTTAGAGGTGATGAAACCAAGGCTTAGAGAGCTTGCGAGAGTTGCCCGAGGTCCCATGGCCAGGAGTGGCCGACCAAGTCTCCAGCCAGGCCCTGTGAACCTGGGCCTGGTCCCGTGGCCACCATGGGAGGCTGCAGAGGCATAGAAGGAAAGGAAGAGTCACTGTTGGCTGCTGATGGGTAGTGTCCAGAGGTGGCAGAGAGGTGCCTCCCAGCCCCCTAGACCTGCCCACAAACACCCAGGGGATCAGCAGTCAGGGCTGAGAGGAAGGTAGGTCCTGAACACTGCCTCCCTGATGTACAGCCAGGGGGCTGGGCTCTGGGGGAGGTGGGCAGGGGATAGGAGATGTTGGAAAGTGTGACAGACCAGGAGTCAGGAGCTGGATTTCAGTCCTGGCTCCCTGCGCAAATCCCAGGACCTAAAACAGGGCCCACCAGGCAATGGGTGTTCGATCAGTATTTGTTGAATAAATGGATGAATGAACCAATGAATGAATGATGTGGTCCCTGGTCTCAGGGGTTTTCCAACCTGGAGGACAGGCTCATAAATGTCACTATAGAGCAGCATGTGTCAAACCTTGGGGCAACACACACAGGGGCTACAGGATTCAGCGAGGAGATTGTCCCTGTGAGCCAGGGTATATTCCAAAAGGGGAATTTGATTGATTCTGTGGGATAAAGGGGATTCCAGCAGCAGAGAAGAGGGCCGAGCACCGAGCGCTAGGAAGCCTGCACACACGGAGGCTTGGAGGCAGGAACTGTTTGGCCTTTGAAAGTCACGTGAGAAGGCGGTTTGATACAAGTATCCTTATGTTCTGTTCAATATTCTGCTCCAGCAAGCCCTTCCCCTGCATGCTCCCAACATGACTCCAAACAGGACAGTTCTCTGTAAATTGGGCATGAGCCCAACTCCCCAACACTGGTTTTCTAAAGTCCAGCCCCATACAAGGAGCTGGTTTAGCACAGAGAACTGGAGGCCCCAGGGGTCTCCTCCATCTAGCAGCCCCTCCCTCAGGGAGCTGTAGGCCCAGGCTGAACCCAGGCCCAGGCCCCGCCTCTGCCGTCCTCCCGGGTTGGCTGCCCAGACCATCACCATGGGGTTCACGCACACCCCACCGCCCCACCCTGGCCAATCCCAGCAGGTACCTCGCCCTGTCCCGCCCTGGCCAAACACTGCAGAGGAAAGCTACAGAAAACCAGACTGGCAGGCCTCACCCCGGTGGCAGCCAGGCCTTAAGGAATTCGGGGAGGGGAGGGTGACACGGAAGTCACTAGGGCTCCCTGAAGCCAGAAAAACACGAAAAGGAGCTGTTCTCTCTGGGACCTAAGAGACCATGAGACCAAACGGCCCAGTGAGAGTTAAGAGAATTACACCAGCTATTACAACCCTTTACATCTTTATAGGGCTCTGCAGTTTACAGCCCACGTTTACACGAGGTGTCGGCTCTAACAGAGACACAGCAACAGTTGGAAGAGCGGGGTCCCACCCACTGCCGGCCCCAAAGACTCCTGGGGACAGACCTGGGCTGAGCGGCTTCAGACCCTGCTGGACGTGGGGACTTGGCTTTCAGGACCAAGCTTCAGAGGCCTTGTGGAAGTGTGGGGAGGGAATGGGATAATAAAGACGGTGGTGAGGAAGGTGAACACGTTGTTGATAATCACAGGGCTTTTACCCCGTACTGTGGACTCCCTTGCCTTTGAGTACCTCGCAACAACCCTACAGGTGGGCATCAATCACCACGTCACAAGAGGAAACTGAGAGTCCGTGAGGTTATGCAACTTAACTGTTAGCCAAGTTATGTTAGTAATCTTGGTAGATCCAGGCTCTGAGACTGGGAATGACATTCCGGAGGTTGATTTCACAGACACTCCCCTACACTGCCAGGAATAGCTGTGCTCACTGCCATCCCTGAATAACCAGCCGGAAATAACATGGGTCCCCTCACTATCCTACTTTAAATTAGACCTCTTCCCAAACTTCATGGACGTGAGCCCCCTGCTGGCCAGTCAAGGAAGACATGAGCCCCACAATAGTCATTGACTGCCACCTAGTGGCGCCATGTGGAATGTCACATTTCTTTTCTATCTCCTCTTCATCTGATGTGTTATTTCAATAACCAGAAGCCAAAATGTTAAAAAAAAAAAAATTGCCCTTGGCTTCTCCCTGCTTCGGCATCCCTAAGAAGAAGTGCAGAAAGATGTTATTCCAATTTTATGAATGATGAAAAGAAGATCCAAGGGAATTAAGTAGCTTCTTGAAGGTCACACAATGAGGACTGTATAGAAGTTAAGTTAGGTCACAGTAACTCAAAGTGTGACCTTGAGTTAAGACATTTTATTATTTGTTTTTGGTGGGCACCAAAAACTCCCTCTGTGACAAAAACTATTCTTTCTTGGGTTTATTTAATAAAAAGTCCCTCCTTTACCCATTTATCTCCCATGCTCACTCTACCGTATTTCAAAATTTGGTATTTGACTGAACCTGCTTCTGGGCTGTCTTTTCTAATCTACCGGTCAGTTTGTCCATCTCTAGGTCTGTACCATATAGTCCTAACTATGAGAGCTTTATAATAGAGTGCAGGTCCTTTCTCCCCTTCTTTTTTGGGATCGTACTATCTATTCTTGATGTTTCTTTTTAAATTTAAAACTCAGTTTATCAATGCTTCATATAATTCTATTGAGATTTTTATTGGAGTTGCATTGAGTATATAATAGGGAAATTGGAGAGAATTCATATCTTTATAATGTTAAATTTTCTTATCCATGAACATGTGCTATCCCTTCATTTACTAAGGTAATCTTTAACGTCATTCAAAAAAATTTTTTAAGTTTCTACATATAGGGTTGTATACATTTTCTGTTAGATTTATTCCTAATTGCATTTTTGAGATTATAAATGGTTCTTTTTTTAAATTATGTTTTTAATATTTTTCTATTAATATAGAAAATGTAATCATCTTATAATTTAAAAACTTCTATATTCATTTCTATACTCATTTTATAACCATAAATATTAATATAACTACATTATATCTCTTTTGATTAGTGTTTACCTAGTGAATCTTTTTCCATTCCTTTACTTTTAATCTTCTTGTATCCCTAGGTTTTAAGTTAATATTTCATAAATAG